GAGTCAGAGAAATAAAGATAGAGAAAGAGAAAGAGAAAGAGAAAGAGAGGAGGAAAAGATGAGATACCGATGAACGTGTGCACGGTGCCCTTCCCAGAGGTTCGCGGACTTGGACATAACGGGGATCCCGAGTTAACTCGTGAAGCAACTTCGGGACCATCACCGTACGATACCACCACCAGGTTACCGGCTCGGATATCAAGAAAGATCGAGAGAGACGGAAAGAAAAAGGGTGGGAGAAAGAAAAAGACAAAATGAAAGAAAGAGATAGATAGATAGATAGAGAAAGAGAGAGAGAAAACCCATAGAAGGTCGTGGAAAGGAGAGGGAAAAAGAGGAATGGAAAAAGTACGCTAAAGAGTGACGGAGAAATGCGTTACTTGGCTAATATAAGAAAAGAGCTCGAGGTAGGATCATGGATGTAGGAACAAGCTGCGGGTTTCTCGAGCAACCTTTCACTGACTGTTCTCTCTCTCGGTACACCTATACGAGTAACAACCGGTCGTCGTCCAAGGTATGCCGTTGGCTATCTTGCTAGTTATGCTGTTGCTAGTTCCACATCGAATTAAGACAAATATTCTTTGGAGTCAATTACTTCGAGATATTTGTCAATGAACTTTGTTTCTTATTGAATACCTTCTTATTTAATCTGCAATTGTTCATTCGTTATTTCATGTATATTAATTTAAGAATATGTTATTATAAATAAATGTAATTTAGTAGTTACGTAGGAAAGATCAGTATGCATTTGATACGCATCGAATGCATCGAATATGAATATGACCTCCAAGGTATTTTCATTACTCACGCTTCATGCATGAAATAGTAGGGAATTGCTAATTAGAATCTTAAGTACTGAGAAATATTATAGATGTTGAAATATTTTTTATTTCCTATATTGTATTAGATTAATTTAAGTTTATTTTTTTAATTTAACTACCTTATGTCTTTAAGATAAAAGGTTGGATTATAAAAAATATGATACACTTGAAAAGATAAAATATGTTTTATTTCATTATTAAAACATTACTTACCAAATTATTTTACGTTTAATTTCAATATCCATGTAAATAATGTCTTCAATTATCAAGAGAATAAGTAAATATATTTTAAATTTCTCTAAATGTAACAAAATTGACAGTTTTTAAATTTCAAATATGAATTAATGAAACTACCTAGAGATGACGCTTCCTTACAATTTAAAATCATCCAATGAATATCGAGATATAATGAGTTTTATGATTGGTGCAACTACAGGATTAATGCAGCTGGAAGATTGTTCTGATTGGATAAAACATTCTTTCTTAATATATCTTAATTAATTTAATATTTGTACTTTTCCTTTTTTTTATATACATATCTTATGTTAATTCAATTAAAAAGTGCATCTGTTTAATACCAGATGTCTCCGATATTTTACTTCGATCGTCCTTTATTTTTTTTTTGCATTGAGAAGGTACGCCATCTGGCTTTCAGATGCACTCTTTTGTTTTTAATGGTCTATCGTATTGTCGTCTGGAGGTTCAATATTATAAGCAGTGGATAAGACAAAAATGCGAATTATTTTCGAATATGTGTACCGTCGTAGAACTAATGCAGCGCAGACAAGCCGAAATTTTAACGAAGTGTTTGGCAAGGATGTGGCTAACGAACGTACAGTATGTCGATGGTTCGAAAAATTCTGATCTGGAGATTTTGATCTTCAAAATGAACCACGCGGGCGGTCTGAGAGCAAGGTGGATGACGATCAACTGAAAGCTGTAGTGGAAGCAAATCCATCTGAAACAATGCGTGAACTAGCAGCAAGGTTTGAAGTTAGCATCATAACAAAATTAAGTCATCTGAAAGTAATCGGAAAGGTAAAGAAGCTGGATGCGCGCCTGTAAGCATGCAACTCTCCAGACACCATTTGAAAATGTTGTTTTCGAGCGTCATCTACTGGAACGAAATTTTTTTGCAGTTCAAACTGTTTATACAAGCGAATATGACGGGTTGCCTAGCTTTCGGGCAGAACAAAAATTCCGTTTCGACAGATGGCGCACGAAAACAACATTTTCAAATGGTGTCTGGAGAGTTGCATGCTTACAGGCGCGCATTTTTGTATAATTATTAAATAAATAATTAAAAAGGCAATAAATAATAAAATACTTAAAAAAAAAGGTTTTTAATCGTGTATTTTAGGAATAAAATACTATCAAATTGTTTGATGTAAGAATTACCTGTCAATATATAAGAGTTATTAAAAAACATTATAAAGTAATTAGTTTCTATAAATGAATTGGATAAAGGAAAAGGATTCAAAGAAAGGAATAAAAAAAATTTGATAATTGGAAAAATTTCATAGAAACTAATTACAATTATAATGTTTATGGTTTAAGCGGTCTTCGGCTGGATTTCCCTTGCAATGGAATGTAAAACATATAAAAATATGTTAAACATTACATTGAAAGTAAAATACCATTGCCCGGGTCTAACCACGAGGAGGTAACCGCTTCTGAAGACCCAGGAGGGATGTGCATCCTAAAGATGCTCACATCCGAATGTAATTCAAAGGAATGCATCTAACTCTTAGGCCCCACCATAAGAGTACCATTCGAAAAATCCTTAAAATTACTAGGGAGAATACCAGAGAAAAATTTGAATATCAAAAAATACAAAATGATTAAACAAGGAGTATAACCTGAAAAGAAATTCAATAGAATCATCGATGTTACTTAAAACTAACACACCCTAGAATAACTTCAACTTATAGAAATACAATCTATATACATTTATATACATAATTTTCAATCTCCATAAATTAAAGTAAAATAATTAAAAAGAGGATACAATTAAAGGTTGTACCATGGAATCTATAAATAAAGAAAATACATTAAAAATAATTATCAAACACGTTCGACGCTAAAAGGAGAATTCAATACAGATACACATTTTCATTTTATTTATACAAATAATTATGTTATACTATCTTACATTACCAAGTCCACTTCTTGTTCCTTTATAGTCCTCCTTTGGTCCACCTGTGGTCGTTTCCTTACCATAGTCCAATCTGCAACAGAAAACAAAGGGATAAAAAGGAGTTAAAAAAATAAAAGGGATAGGAAAAAGAGGGGATAGGTATAACTTTTAAAGCGGAACTTTTCACGATTTTTTTTTTAAGTGGTTTCCCCCCGATTGGACTAGTCCACTGACTCTAAATTTAGGAGAAACCTACACTAAATGTTCAGTCCAACACCGTATACTATTGCGAACTTACGGAAAWNAATCCTTGGGTCCGTCTAACAATTAGCGGAAGATGTTTTCCCTTACAATGAAGCTTCAGTTTCTCATGCTAAATGCATATCTATCTATGCATATCAAAAAGCCGAAAAAGAAAAAAAAGGAAAAAAAGAAATAAAGACGGTAGCTCCAGCTTAAAAGTCAAATGAACATGATTBTATCCTTGGGAGTAAGATAGAATCATGGCTCGCGTGGGCAGGGTCGCATCCCTGAAGTAAATTCTTTATTTGTAAATGGTACCACCCTTTACGAACAAAAAATTTACCCGCTACCCATTAAACCACTTCTGAAACAGAAATTTTTAATVAATATTAATACAATTTTATTTGCAATGTAAGTAATTGGAGTATATTATATTACCTTCCGATCTAGGAACGCAATCAAGTTGAAGACAGTTATCTGATAAATTGAAAAGATAAATTCATATTAAAATTATTTTCTATTCACAGTAAGTTAATGTGTATGTAACGATTAAACCAATGTATATGCGTTGAAACAATCTGAAAAATAATTAAAGTATATTAAAATAATGAAATAATTATTAATTAATTGATAGAAGTATCAATTATTGTTTAAAAGAGCGAAATATATTCTCGAAGTACCTTCGTCTTCGAAATACACTTAAAGACTAAGCTGTTGTTCTCTGCAAAAATTTATCTTTAGAAAGGTATGATATTTCCTTTCAATTGCAGACTTGTTTGAAATCGACATATTGTRAGATAGTAGAAACCTGCATTAAAAAATAAAATATGCATTATAMCAAAAATAATTTTATTCTGAAATWAAATAAAATAAATATTACAATAAAAGATTTCTTGTTTTATCGGTGTAATGCCTGTAACATTATAAAAGTTATGAAAAAACATTATAAGGCAATTAGTTTCTGGAGATGAAATGGATAGAAGGAGCCAAGGAAAGGAATAAAAATATGACCATTGGAAAATTACAGAAACTAATTACAATTATAATGTTTATGGTAAGCGGTCTTTGGCTGGATTTTACTTGCAATGGAATGTGTATCATATAAAAATATGATAAACATTACATGGAAAGTAATATCCATTGCCCAGGTCTAACCACGAGGAGGTAACCGCTTCTGAAGACCCAGGAGGGATGTGCATCCTAAAGATGCTCACATCCGAATGTAATTCAAAGGAATGAATCTAACTCTTAGGCCCCTCCATAAGAGTACCACCATAAAAAATCTTTAGAATTATTTTTATTATTTTTTAAATATCAAAAAATACAAAATGATAAACAAGGAGTGTAACCTAAAAAGAAATTTAATAAAATCATCGATGTTACCTAAAAGTAACACACTCTAGAATAATTTCAATATAAGCACATAAGAAAACCACAAGTTACGAATATTTTATATTGAATAATTTTTAATCTATAAAAAATACAATATAATAAAAATAAATATATATAATATTAGACGGTACCTGTAAAAAAAAAAAGAAGATATTAGATGATACCTGTAGAAAAAAAGGGTACATTAAAAATAACTATCATACATATACGATGCTAGAAAGAATAAAATAAAAAGAATTAAAATTCTTGAATTATTTTTGCAAGTAATTATTTTATATTACCCTTTACTATAATTATWGTCCTCTTAWKWTCTGCTTCCTATTATTCTTGGATGTAATATTGCATCGTCTTTATAATTCATCCTGTGAATAAAAAAAGTAATGAATGAATAAAATACAACCTGTTTACCATAACTTCTCGATATGGACTCTTCTGGTCCATATTCCTCTCCTCTTGAATACTCCATTATTATAAGAAACCTAAAACAAAAAGAAAAATAAAGAAGTAGGGAAGGAGTGATGGTTGGTGGGGTGAAATTCAAGGTAAGGACATAATTTTCTCCCAATTATTGGAGGTAGGAGAAAATCATGGCTCGCGTAGGGCAGGGTCACATC